TAAGAAAGTATGGTAATAAGAGATATATAGAGTAATAGACCAGAATAACTACAGAAATTAACCAGCCGTATGTGGTCAGCTGATTTCTTCCAAAGGTACCAAGGCAATTAACCAGGAAAATAAGTCTTTGCAATAGATAACTCTAAAAATTGGACCTCCCTACAGAAAAAACGAAAATCAACATCATCCTTATCTCACCATAAAAATTAACCAGAAATATTTTGTAATATATCTAAGTGGAAAAGTTAAAACTATAAACTTTCTAAAAGAAACACAATTTGTAACTTGGGTTAGGTAAAAACCTCATACAGACACAAAAAAGAAATCATTAGAAAAAACAAATTGAACTTTATCACGACTAAAACTTTCCCTATTCAAAAGGTATCATTAAGGCAACAGTTTCTTAGATATGACAGCAAAGAGCATAAGCAATGAAAGAAAAAATAGACAATATCAAAATTAAAAATTTTGGTGCTGCAAATGATACTATCAAAAAGTAAAAAGACAAAGAATAAGAGAAAAATCTCTGTAAATCCCATATCCGATAAAGGATTTATAGACACTCTGAAGRAGTCTTAGAACACAACAATAAAAAGTTACTTAATTTAAAAATGGATAAGGAATCTGAATAGGTATTTCTGCAAGAAAGGCACACTAGCAGCCAATAAGCACACACAAAAAACAGTAGGCACCAGTTAAATCAAACCAAGAGGTACTAGTTCACACCCATAGATGGCTAACATCAAAGACAGACAATAGCAAGTCTGGTGTGGCTGGAGAAAGTCGGATCCTCATCCAAGGCCCAGGACTTGTAAAACAGGACAGTCATTTTGGAAAATAGCCCTTAAAATGTTAAACACATATTTATCATTTAATCCAGCAATTCCATACCTAAGCATGTGCCCAAAGGAAATGAAAATCTGTATACAAACAGGCCTCACATCATTATTTCTAACAGTCAAATAAACTAAATCTTTACTAACCAATGAGCTGATACATGAAATGCAGTGTTTCTATATAATGAGATATTATTTGGCAATAAAAAGGAATATAGCCCTGATATATGCTACACGGATGAACCTTGAAAACATTTAAGTTAATTCAAAGAAGCAGGTCACAAAAGATGGTATATTGTATGATTCCAAGCAAGCTACAAAATGGGAGAAAACATTTATATTACACATATCTGACAAAGGATAGAATATACAAAGAACACCTAAAGCCCAATAATAAATGATAATCCAATAGAGACTGGGGGAAAGTTTTGAAATAATTTTCTATTTAAAAAGATGTACAGGGCTGGGGATGTGGCTCAAGCGGTAGCGCGCTCGCCTGGCATGTGTGTGGCCAGGGTTCGATCCTCAGCACCACATACAAACAAAGATGTTGTGCTCACCGAAAACTAAAAAATGAATATTAAAAAAAAATCTCTCTCTCTCTTAAAAAAAAGATGTACAAATGACCAATCAAGGCATAAAAAGCTAATCATCATAATTAATCACCAGGGAAAGACAAATTAAAACCATTTTGAGATTCTGAGATACCATGACACACCCATCAAAATGGATAAAATAGAACACTAAAAACTTCAAAAGTTAGCAATAATGTAAGCAATAGAAATCTACAAACACCTCTTGCCAAAAAACAAAAGTTGGCATTTCTTAAAATGGTAAACACAATACTTACCTTGTAACCCACCCATTATGCCCAAACATACATCCACAACATAAAAATTTGTGCATGAATGTTCATAGCGGCTTTATTCATAATAGTCCCCAAACTGAAAACCATCCAAATGGCTACTTTAGAAAAGTGAATAAAAGAGGGAGTATCTAAACCAGAATATAACTCAGTGATAAAAAGGAATGAGGTACCACGGACATGCTACACGAATGATTGTCAAAATCATGAGTGAAATAAGCCAGACACAAACAGGGACATACTATACGACTCGATTTCTAGTCATTTCTAGTGAGTGGAAGGTGGTCACTGATTGGATTATGGCAAAGGAAGAAAAACTTCAAAAACCACAAGCAATCTTTTGGAGGTAACAGAAATCTTCTGTATCTTGATTATGATAGTGGGTTTATGGACCAGAGTTTATCTCTTCATTCCTGAACTGTCCAATTTAAATGGATGCAGAATATTGAATGTGAATTATACCTGTATAAAGCTGATCTTTTAAAAAGTAATGGAAACCAAAGAAATATGCATCAATACAAGTTAACATTTTGTAATGAGCATATCCAGTGTTTGTGTAAATAGTGTTTCTAGTTGCTTATTTGTGTGTATACATTTTTTTTCCTTAGGTGGTTCAAACATTCATTGCTGCTAGGTCAGGATTTTGTTGATTGATTTACCTAACAAATCTCATCCAGTGCCCACCAAACCTTAGTTCCAGCCTAACTGCTCTCTGGATTCCCACAAATTCTGAGTGTGGTTCATATTAACCAGGTCTTCTCTAACTCCAAAAGAGGGATGATGATGTCCTTGGTAGAAATTCAGGAGGTGGGGGTAGGGACAGCTGTGCCACCAATACGGTTTCCAAGCTTTGAGCTAAGGTTGGCTACATTCCACACACTCTGATGCTCTCGTGGGCTGCTTCTTTACATACGCTTCTGCTGGTAAGCGTACGACCAAGTTGCTTAGACAGGCAAATTTAAATCTACTTGGACTTGATCTTATAAAATTAAAGACCATCTGCAGAGACATCCGGACAACATGATACACATGTCCATAAAGAAACCAGCATGTGCTGAGGACCCACTCTTTGTGACAGTTTTCCACACATTTTCACATTCACTACTCACTACAGTTCTCTAATGTAAATATTATTATTATCTCCACTTTTTCCCATGATGGAAACTGGTATGCAGAGAGACCCCAGCCATTTGCCCAAATTCACCTAGTTAGTGAGAGGCAGAACTGAGATTTTTGTATTTGGGGTATTTTAACTGATATTCAGTATATTTCCATACACTCAAAAGTAAAGCAAGTAAATATATTTAACTTTGGATTCAAGTATTAGTACTTTACTTTATGCATTACCAATAAAAAAGTACACACTTAAATACACAGATTTTGTGGCATTTTTGCTTATTACTGAAATGTCATATTCTTCTTATTAGGTGATATGTGTGTGTGTGTGTGTGTGTGTGTGTGTGTGTGTGTATTTTTAAGGTGCTAGGGATTGACAATGGTGTTCTACCCCAGCCCTTTTATTTTGAGACAGGGTCTCCCTAAGTTGTCCAGGCTGGCCTCAAACTTGTGATCCTCCTGCCTCAGTCTCCTGGACTTGATTTCATAAAATTAAATTACAGGCAAGTACCACCATGACCAGCTCACTTAAATCTTTAAAGAGTAGACTCTATAATAAAATAAAGTCATATGAGCTTCCAGGATGTGTTCCCAAATTTGGGAAAAAAACTTACTGGAAATTGCTCTCTAGGAAAAAACAGAAATATGGCAAATCATAAAACAGAAAACATGGGATTAGGAAAAATTATACTTAGGTAATCAGAGGGTTAACATTGAACCCATCACTTAACAGCTTAATAGTCTCCAGAGAAAAATCAGGCATATGATTCCCAATTGGACACTTAAAAACTATTTACACAAAGTCATAATCTACTGAAATATTTTGCAGATAATAAATGGAGTGATAAACTGGGTGTGGTGGCACAGGCCCATAATCCCAGTGACTGAGGAGGCTGAAGCAGGAAGATTGAATGTTCAAGGCCGGCTTGGGTAACTTAGTGAGATCATGTCTCAAAATTTAAAAATAAAATAGAAAGAAGTTGGGCATAGTGGCACACACTGGTAATCTCAGCTACTCTGGAGGATGAGGCAGAGAGATTACAAATTCAAGGCTAGTCTCGGCAATTTAGCAAGGCTTTAAGCAACTTGGGGAGAACTTGCCTCAAAACAAAAAGGATTGAGGATGTAGCTCAGTGGTAAAACACCCCCGAGTTCAAACTCCAGTACCAAAAACTAAATAAAATAAATAAAAGGGCTGGGGGGTGTAGCTTAGTGGTAAAGCACTTACCTAGCATGTGCTAGGTCCTGGGTTCAATCCCCAGCACCACCCAAATAATAGTAATAAAATAATGTAGCAATGAGCACTTGTATCCCAACATGATCCCAACTTAACATGTTGTTTAAACATTCATAAGGAAGAGAAGAATACATGAAAACTAAAAACTGTCAGCTTAAACATCAATTCTTCCACGTACCTTTGGCAATTCAATTAATAAATTAATGAAATTAAGTATATATTTTGATCTTCATCAAAAATCCTCTTCAGTCATAGAGCTCAATAAGGCAGTGTTCCAAAATTTATTTTCTCACATCCTGGCTCAAGCACAATATCCTGTTTTACTTTCCATCACTTAATTCTAGTAAATGTCCTGGGATAGTTCCAGATCATAACACTTAAAGTGTTTATGTGAGTGGAGAGGCCAGTTTCATCTTTAAAAAATAAATAAATACACTTCAAATAAAGTTTCTATCTGAATATTCTGTTGATTACTTCCTCCCTTCTGGTCATCTCCAGTTTTCCCGGAATGCAGAGGTAATCGAATGTGGGCGATAGTGCCCTAATTTGAGGGAGGGGACAGAGTACACAGCTGCCATCTGCATCCCTCCCCCAGCATCCCTGGGTAGGAGTTTTCTAGAGATAGGAGCAAAGTGTACCCCACAGAGGAGTGTCTTCAGGCAGTAGCTCTTGGACCTAGCACATTAGAAAGCAACGGAGACACCCAGCAATGGTAACATGGGACCCCACAGCAGGATCTCCACTCTAACCTAGCAGAGGCAGACTAGTCCCAGGGAGGCCTGTGGACCTCCGTGTGCAGAACACAGTCTCCAGACATGTCCAGGCTTCTCTGGTGCCCCACAGGCCTCACCACTCCCTCCTGTCTCTCCCAGTCCACTGCATCCATTTATTTCAACACTGGTGTTTACAATCCTGTTTGCACTCATCAATTAAACAAGGTACTTACAGCTGCATGACCAAGTACAGGTGATTTGGGCTTTCATAAATGTCTTCCAGGGCAACTATGTTTTCATGCTTAATCCTAGAAGAAAAAAGAAAGCACCCTGGTAAGTACAATTGGACATGAAATCTTTTAAACACAGATGTCATTATAGCAAAAAGTTCTAAGACAGAATCAAAGTCCTGAACGACACATGTAAGACTTGTCCCCAAACTTTTTTCAGACTCTTTCTCTCAACAGTCCTCCTTTAATCTCTGCTCCTCTTCATTCCTGAGTCTCTAGACACTAAAATCTAGCAATAATTTAACTATTCCTGCTCCCTGTGTATCGCCATAGGCCAAATATCTCAACACCCTATTATCTTGCAGGGCCCAGCTTAAATGGCTGAGCTCCTCACCGTGGAATCTAACTGCTCCATCTTCTGCTGTCTCACAATGCCTTCCATGACCAGTCTGAACTGTCAATTGTATGCATGTCCATCTCCCATAATAGCCTCTGTGTTCCAGGGAACAGTTTCAAGGTCAGGTTCATGGATCCAATGTAGGCAAAAGAAAACCAGCTTGATCCTTCATTGGGGTTCATGTTTACCACACCGCCACATGTCAATTCAGTTCCCAGGTAAAGTAGACCAGTACCATACAAAATATGGTTGCCAACAAGCAGTCCCAGAATCTCCTGGGAACTGGGTAGAAATCCAAATTGTCAGCCCCACCTGGGTGATACAGAATCAGAATCTCCGAAGGTATAGCCCAGAAATCTGTTTTAATAAGATCCTCAGACCACATGTATACACAAAATGAAGCTTGAAAATACTGTATTGGACCAGTAATTCTCAAACTTCAGTGTACCAAGGAGCGTCCTGTGGGTTACAATGTAGATATTGATTCAGTGGGTCTAGGGTGGGGCCTTGGCATTTGCATTTCTCACCAGTTCCCCCCAGAGATGCAAGTGAGGATGTTGCCGGGCGGAGGATCACCCTCTAAGCAGCAAAGTCCTACCTGAAGCAACCCAGGAGAAGGAAAGAGCCTTAATCCTATCCCCTAGAAAAATGCCATCCATCAGAGACCAGTTTGAACTGTCAATTGTATGCATATCCATCTCCCATAATAGCCTCTGTGTCCCAGGGAACAGTTTCAAGGTCAGGTTCATGGATCCAGTGTAGGCAAAAGAAAACCAGCTTGATCCTTTCATTGAGGTTCAGGTTTACCACAACACCACATGTCAATTCAGTTCCCAGGTGAAGTAGACCAGTACCATACAAAATATGGTTTTGTATGGTACTGGTTTACTATACTATGCATCAAGAGTAGTTTCTACTCAGAACATAAAGTGCTATATTTATTTAATGCATTTGAGAGAAGAATCATTTCATTACCCACTGAGCTAATGAGTTCTTACCATGAACCAGCCCATCACTGAAATGACTGCTGAACCATTTAAAATCAAGCACATAACACACAGAATCTCATGAACCCCTTGAAAGCAGAGACTACATTATTCAGGCTGTTTCCCCCTTGCACCTAGCACAGACCTGCTTAATCAACATTTACAGAATGAACGAATGATATTTAAAGGTTGTTGCCACTAAATAGCAAGGAACAACATTAGGTATCTCATCACAGAAAATGGAAGCAGTTTTCCCAAGTGTGAGATGTCTTACTCTGAAAAAAAAGTTTATAAACTAGAATAAAAAAAATACACATATGGGGCTGGGGCTGTAGCTCAGTGGTAGAGCATTTGCCTCGCAGGTGTGAGGCCCTGGGTTTGATCCTCAGCACTACATAAAATTAAATAATAAAGATATTGTGTCCATCTACAACTAAAAAATATTTTAAAAATACACATATTAGCTTGCCTTTGAGTTGAAAGAAGAGAACAAGATAATGAACTAAAAGTGGCAATGTGTTTCTTTGATTTCTTATTAATTAATGCAGTTGTTTTGTAGGAGCTGAAATAATTACACTAAATTCACATTTCATCTGATTGCCATGCAGAGCACATAGTTCTTTATTTGTCAGTAGTAGTTACTGTATGACCTGAGTAAAATGGTATCAGCAATGAATTATGGCAATATATCAAATAAACTGTCACTAAGGAAACCAAGAGAGCTTAATTGGGGACCACCAAGATCCTAGACATTTGTGGCATTACCATTATCAGATATACTCGAAAGAATATGACCACAAAAGGTAAAACACATCATGTGGATTTTCCTTTTTTTGGAAATTTAAAATATCTGCCATGAGAATTGTCACATGGGCACAAGTACTTTTATTCAGTCAAATTAATAGCTAATTAAGAGTATATTTTCAGAAATCGGGAGGAATGGGATTACACAGAGGATTGCTAGATAAAATACAGAGCACGTAGTTACATTTGAATTCTAAATAAACAACAAATATATTTAGTATAAGCCTGTCCCAAATATTGCATTGTTTTTACCTGAATTTCAAATGTATCAGGGCATCCTCTATTTTCATGCACTGAATCTGATCACCCTAGTTACACAAGGCCCTCAGTGATCCTCTAAACTGGGCTAGAGATTGGCACCTGCAACTCTGGCTCTTCTTGGAGGTTGGGTCAAGAAGGTGGCTATTTGAAACCCAGAGTTCAGCCGTTGAATAGTTAATACAGATTCAACTCCACATAACCAACTGTGCACTAACCACCTGTCTATTTGTGTGTGTGTGGGGGTGGGTGGGGGGGTATCGGGGATTGAGCTGAGGCACTCAGTCTCTGAGCCACATGCCCAGCCCTATTTTGTGTTTTATTTAGAGACAGGGTCTCGATGAGTTGCTTAACACCTCACTTTTGCTGAGGCTGGCTTTGAACTCGAGATCCTCCTGCTTTGACTCCTGCCTAGCCAAAATAGCAGACTAACAAAATCAGGCCACAATCCCCTCATGGGATGCACAGGATAGATAAAGCCAAGCCTATTCAACCTGACAGGACTTATGTGAGTGCTACCTTGAAATTAATTTTAATCCATGAGAGCATTCCAGAGAGGAATTACAGATAGAAGGGACCATCTCATAGCAGTCTTGCACTGGTTACAAAGTTGCTATCTTACTATGGTATCCCTCTAACTCATGTATCAATCAATCTGGCAATCAAGCAATCACTGAGTTTCTGTTTCGTGTCTGGCAGCGCACAAGAAAATTATAAAATAAGGTTTTGCCTTCAAAAAGATTATCATCCAGACGGAGAGAAGCAGGAAGCAATGAGAAAAGGATTAATGCTGAGTTCTGCAGAATTGCCTTTAAGGTCAGAGAAAGCAGAGTCCTCATAGGTCAGTATTTTGGAGAAGGTCTCAGGAGAATAACAGGGCTTGAGCCAGGATGGGTAACATTTAAGGAAGCACACTTGAGAAATTTCAAATAAATGCTAAAATGGCCTCTAAACTGTCTTTTAAGAAAAGTGTTTTAATTAGCTTGGAGGTGTTAGAACATGGCAAAAGAAAGCATTCTAGGGCCAGGGTTATAGCTCAGTGGTAGAGAACTTGCCTAGCACATATGAGTCACTGGTTTGATCTTCAATATCACATAAAAATAAATAAATAAAATAAGGGTGTTATGTCTATCTACAACATATATATATATATATATATATATATATATATATATATACTTTTTTTTTAAGAAAACATTCTAACCTCTCACATCTGTTTTCAGTTATCTTGTTCCACACTCAGGACCCTTTATGGTATACAAAAACAGAACTTAAAATTTAAACATTATTTTAGTACATAGATTGTTTTAACAAAATGCCACATGAACATTCGTACATTTCTAAGAATGGGGCAGAATCTATCCTACAGAAATACTTTCCCCTGGCTGAATTCCCTCATTTCATTATTCATTCAACAAATATGCATTGGGTGCCCACCAGGAGCCAGGTACAGTCCCATATGTTATGAATCTAGGTGGCCAAGACATAAAGGGAGACAGTATTAGCCCCCATGAGCTCACACAGGTGACAGCTAGAAGACTGTCTCATATTCACCAGAAATTGACCTCCTGGTAATTAGTAGTTACTCTTAGACGCAACAGAGGATAAGTTTATATTGTCTTTCTGTAAATATTTGAGGGTTATAATTGCTCCTCTGACTCTCCTTATCATTGACCCGTCTTGCAATATGGTTGATCCTCCCCCTCAGTCCTATTGTCACTCCTTTGTTCAGACTATGGTATATTCAGAACTGAAAGGAATGATCCCAATGGAAATATGGCCAGAAAAGGGCATGGCAGATAGTGTATTTGATACCTATTTGTTAAATGGATGAATAATCTTAAGCCCAGAATCAATTAAACTACCAGATCATTTTTCCTTGAGCTTCTAACCAAGATTTGCTTTCTGACTCAGACTTTAGAGCTTTAAAGTTTTCACCATCAGCACTGTTATATTCAATCCTTTTGGGTCCCATGCAGTATACCAGGTGTCCAGCAGTATGGTGAATCTTTAGCCATTCATTTATTGTATTTATTTCCCTCCCAATGTTGGGCCATCTGCATATTTGGTACATATCCATCCCATATATGTCCCTCCAAATTCCTAATTAAAATTGTAAGTGGGAAGGTTATATGAAAGATCTCCATGGTATTCTACCAGAGACCCCCAACAAGATAACTGACATCAATCAGCTGGCTTTGATTGCTCTAGTGGCAAATCCAACAGGGCCATTATCCAGCCCATATTTTACCATCCTATCCATAAGGAATCAATTATATGTTTTGCTGAAGTGGCTTTCCTCAGCTCTACACATCACATAAGACTATTTAAAATGGAAATGGGATGTTCAGGAAGATTTGTTCTTAGTAAACCCATATTAGCTCCTAGAAAACACTATTGTCTTTACTAAATGATCACAAGCCATCTGTTTAACTTTGTATTCCAGAATTGAACCGTGCTTTGAATTCAAGCTTCTCAGTCTATAGATCTCATATCCTTCCATTTTATGTTTGGAAAACTTGATGACATCTCTGATATTGTTTTCTCAAACATCTCAACTGTGACTCCTCTGTGATAAATGCAATTTCCTAGGGGACTATCTCAACTTTGTGATGAACAAATTTTATAACTTT